CTCGGTTCTGGTGCAGGATACTCGGACCTTTCCCGATCGCCAAGGGCCAATGCAAATTTCTTATCGTTGCTGTCGACCTGTTCACCAAATGGATCAAAGCCGAACCCTTGGCGTGTATCTTGGCTCATCAAGTCCAAAAGTTTCTGTGGAAGAATATTATCACCTATTTCGGTATCCCACACACTCTTCTGACCGACAACGGCCTGCAATTTACCGACCGAAAACTAAACGAATTTATAGCCGGCTTAGAAGTGCAGCACAAGGTCACATCGGTCGAACACCCGCAAACGAATGGTCAGGCCGAGTCAGCCAACAAGGTCATCCTTACAGAACTGAAGAAACGTCTAGGGGAAGCAAAGGGAGCATGGGCCGAGCAGCTACCCGAGGTGTTATGGGCATATCGATGCACCCCCCAGTCCACCACACAAGAAACACCTTTCTGGTTGGTCTATGGATCCGACGCGATGATTCTGGTGGAAATTGGAGAACCGTCATTCCGCCGAGCCCACTTCGACGAAGCAAGCAACGAAGCCGAACTCCGAACAAACTTGGATACGGCCGAAGAGATTCGTGACCGAGCACTAGGCGTGGCCGAGGCCACCAAGCAACACTACAAGCGAAGATTCGGCAAGCAGGGGAAACTGATCCTCCCCACTCCCGAAACAATTCTCCAAAGAGACAAATGTGTCTAACAACCCCTGGTCAGACAGCTTCGAAAGATAAATGCCGACCTCTCCGTCGACCCACTCGTAACCGGGCACCTCCACAGTTCCGTAGTCGATCCGTGCTCTTACCCGAGTACTCGGTTTGACAGCTCTCTTGCCTCGAGCATCGCCGACCACCTCCAATTCGTCCCCGCTCATATCAACTTGCAACGCTTGCGGGTCCGGCTGACCGACCCGACCTAGACCTCGGTCATCCACCTCTGTTGCCTGTGCCAAGGCCACGACCAATGTCGTCGGAGGCAATACCTCGACCACCTCATCCCCACTGTCCTCTCGTTCAGGGTAATCGGAAGGGAAGACAACTTCGCACTGCAGCGGTGGTAATCTTGATATTTCACTTGAAGCCGACCCCTCTTTATCCGATGAAGCGCCCGATGCTTCCGAAGACGTCCAACTCCTCGCCGAGGCGTAGCCTCTATCCATTTATTGCTGAAATCAAAGAATGCAAAATTTTACCTTGCTCGGGTTGTTCGGAAGAATATGATCTCGGGAGAGCTCAGAAAATTTACAGCGCGTAAATTTTCACGTCCAAACACCCCTATTTATAGGCAAGGTAAATGGGGGGAGGTGAAAAGACGCCCCCGGGCCACGAATGTTCGATCTACATCATCCAACGGCCCAGATTAAGTAACCGTTGGGCCTGTGACCGCTAGGGCCAACTTGGCAGGTCGCACCTGCCGAGGCCTCGGGTTAAGTCACCAGTATTCGAAAGCTCCGATGCAGGATCTTACGTTCAAGGCCTCGACTGGACCTCACAATGGATACGGTTTCGGCCTAAAACATAGCCTGCAAAAGGCCTCGGTCAGACCTCACGTCCAAAGTCTCGACCTAGACATCGCCTGCAAAAGGCCTCGGCTAGACCTCTCATGTCCAAGGTCTGGGCCTAAAACATCGCCTGCAAAAGGCCTCGGCCAGACCCAAGGTCTCGGCCTAGACAAAGCCTGCAAAAGGCCTCGTTCGGACCTCATGTCCAAAGTCTCGACCTAGACATCGCCTGCAAAAGGCCTCGGCTAGACCTCTCATGTCCAAGGTCTCGGCCTAAAACATCGCCTGCAAAAGGCCTCGGCCAGACCCAAGGTCTCGGCCTAGACAAAGCCTGCAAAAGGCCTCGTTCAGACCTCACATGTCCAAGGTCTCGGCCTAGACATCGCCTGCAAAAGGCCTCGGCTTGAGCTCATGGTTAAGGTCGACCCAAGCATCATCAAGAAGACGCATCGAGATACACCTATACCGGCCCTTATTCTTTAATACCGAATACCGCGTCACCATCTTTTTTGTACCGTCTTCGTCTTTTTTTTATCCTTGACGCTACGGGGGTTGTATACCGTATGGTGGCCAACTCGCCCGAATACCCGAGACCATCGCTTATGCCGAGTACCCGAACCCGCCGACCACCCCCAGATAGGTGTGAAGCGCGTCGGCGTTGCTTATGCCGAGTACCCGAACCCGTCGACTCCCCCAAATAGGGGCGAAACGTGTCGGCGGGGTCAGCCGAGTATGTCGGCATCATCAAGATGGTTACAGAGAGATTAATTAACATAATGCATAGGATTAGACCCCTAATTTTCCGGGGCCCAGTCCCTAATCGCGGCCCAATAAGAACTACTATAAATAGGACCCCAACGAGGTATGTAATTAATTCTGAACCACCGCATTTATTACGCCGAGCACTAACTTGAGCGTCGGAGTGTCTTTGCAGGCACACTCCCCCTTTTACTTCGGACTGCCCGGATTGGAACGAGAAGACCGAGACCCAAGATCCGACTCGTCACAACAAAGATAATTGAAGTGTGTATCCGAACACAAGAACAATAACAATTAGTTGAACTTGGTAGATCAATCTGCTAATTAATTCATCTATTTTTGATAGTTGAATTGAATAAATAAATTTACCAATCTACCAACTTGCTTTGTTTTATTTTATTCCCTTCAAAGATAAATTTGTAAAAAAAATTATGTTAAAATTAATATTTTAATATAATATCTTGACTTTTCTTTTTAGGTGATTGTTCTCTTTTTATATGAAAATGAAAATATATTATTTTAATCAATTATTTTTAGTTGTACATTTTTATGTTTAGTAATTTTTTAATAAAAATATATATTATTTTGACCTTTTATATAAAAAATATAATTTCTCTAATTAATTTTAAAAATAATAATAAAATTAAAAGTTAAAATAATAATTTATATTAAAATATTTTAATTAAAATTTTTAAAAAAAAATAGATGAATTGAAAGTGAAGTGATTAACTTATTAACTTACCAACTTACTAGAATAAAGTAACTTCCTATTAAATAAAAAGAGTTATATTTTATAAGCTCTTGATATAATGAAGTGACCCTTCCCACGGTTTGGCACCCATACACACGTACGTAGCATGTTGCGAGTTAAAACTTAAAACCCGACTTCAGAATGATGAGAATAAACAAGACACTGTATATTCACGTGAGACGTGTCGTGACGCGAGGCACCATTCAACTATCGCAATTGATGAATATTCAAAACAAAATTGAATTTTAGCGGCATACTTATAATGGAAGCAATGCATTCATTCATATATATGATGTGTGCGTTGCGTTGTTGCATGTGTCATCATCACCTTTGTCGCCATTCCATTCGTCATGGACGGGAATTCGGATTCGGATCCCACGCGTCCGCTTCTCACTCACCGCACCTCCGCCGATAACGCCGCCCTGGCACCCCGACACACTCGCCGCAACTCGGTTAACTCGCTCAGAGCCGCCTTCCTGTCCAAGCTTCCCGATAAGGTCCGTTCTGGCCTCGACTCTGAGTCTCCCTTCGACCTTCATCTCTCTTCCTCCACCGCCTTAAGCAAAGGTCACTCTCTCTATGTCTCGCAATCGATGTTTCTCTAGATATCTTTCGTCGACTTTAGTCTTGTACGGAATAATTGTTCGGGAATTCTATGATTCGATTGAGATTTCTGTTTTGGGTAATTTTCTCATCAAGCTTGCGCAGTCAAATTCTCCTTTCGTCTCAAAACGATTCGAGATAGTTTCACTTTCTCGATAATACATTATTTTGGATTGTCATGAAAAGTTTATGAGAAGACAAATTGGAAGAAAAAAAAATTAATATTACATTGAAACTTTTAACATCAGTCATTTTTTTTTTCTTTTTCAAATGTTAAAACTGTAACGGAGGGAGTAGGAGAAAACTTGGATATAGTTTTCTAGGTTTTTGTGGTGTTTAACTTATATAAACCTGCATAATAAAAGGCTTATATTAATTATCAACGTAGGTTATCAAGGTTTAAAGAACTACTAATCTAAACATTAATTATTAAAGTAGGTTATCAAGGTGATGTTTTAATTCTGATATGAGAACACTATTAAAAGTACTTAATGAACTACATCCAAGTATGCAAAGTGAAATGTTAATGGAGGAATTGTTTAATGCTGTAACCTGTGTTCTTGAATTGTGTGTTTTTTTTTTTCTTCTTCTTCTTTGAACTTGAGATGTTTTTGAGTTTTATAGGGGAGAAAGAATACTATGAACGACAATTTGCTACTCTGCAATCGTTTGAGGAAGTGGACTCCGTGGTGTCATCTGATTGCATTGTTGAGGAAAACGATCAGGAACAACGTCAGCAAGAAAGAGCAATGAGGATTTCTAATTATGCAAATATAGTTTTGTTGATATTAAAGGTGATATTTCATTTCATGTTTCTGAGTTGAAGGCGTTTTTTGAATAATTTGAAGTAGCCAGTAGGTCATGATAGGATTCATTTGAGGTATCAAAGTATATGGTAAAAGGAGAGAGGATAAAGAAAATATCAGTGGAAATTTCTATTCTGATTTTTCATACTGAATGGTACCCAAAAATAGGGTTTTATACAAAAGAGAAAAGGGTGCATAAAGATGAAAATGAGCCTATAGTATGTAATGACTGATTCCACTATTAACCACCTAACCCCTTAGTGCCAGCAAGATTACCTAAGTTGCCCCAAGTCTGTTACATTGCCCGAGTTTGTTATCATGAGGATTCAGAAGACAATTGATTATTTGAAATTATTTGAATAAATATCTCTATAGACACTCATAATAGAAGAAAATATGAAAAAATGAATTAAGTTTCTCAAGTTAAAATTAACTTATATATAAGTTAAAATCAACTTTTAGAGAAGTTAAATAAGATAATTTTTACAAATTAATTTATACATGTGTCAATATGAACATATGGAAGAAGCTTGATTGATTGTTTTAGTCATAATTAGCTCCTTAAGTGTTTCTTTTTCTATTGTACTTGCCGATAATTCTTCTATAAAATAACTATATGTACGTATCTATGCCTAGATTTATGCCACTGTAAGGAGTGGGTCAATAGCTATTGCAGCATCAACTTTGGATTCTCTGCTTGATCTCATGGCTGGTGGCATACTTTGGTTCACTCACCTTGCGATGAAGAACATAAATATCTATAAATATCCAATTGGAAAGCTAAGAGTGCAGCCAGTTGGCATTATTATCTTTGCAGCAGTCATGGCAACTCTTGGTGAGTCACACTGACTTAAACTATTCCTGGCTTTGACACCGTTCATTCTGCTGTGACTTGTATGTCCATGTCAAAAGTGTTTCCTCCTCCTGGGAGGTGCATGCTACAAAATAATTCTGTTTCATTTAATTAAATTTAATTCAAAATTTCATTTTTTTTAGTTAAAAGAGTTCTCATTCAGATTTCAATTTGAATGTACATCTGTACCTTACGCTTAATGCAAACCATTCTAAAGGAATTAATTTTTTTCCTATTGTTCTTGTCTTTAGAATCTAATTGGTTGAAAATTATTTTTGTCTTTGGTAAACTTAGACAATATCATTTTGACAGAAGCCTCATTTTTCCATTGGACCATAAATTAAAAGATCCTAGTATTAGAAAGAATGCAGTAGGTGCCATGTCTGTATCTTCCCCAAGTTTTTATACTTTACATACGTTTTTTTTTGCCTCAAAAAATTGACAACAGGTAGCTTTTTGTCATTGGAATCAGAGAACTTCAACCTAATTTTGTTAATGAAATGATGGATAAAAAGTGAACTTCAACATATTGATTTATATGGTCAAGCGTCAATAATTAGAATCCTACTGCTTTTAAAATAGCATATTTTGATAATTTACGGTTTTCACTTTTCGCAAACTCGTTCTCTTAAAAGCACTAAAGAGTATTGGTACATTTACGTGCAAGTGCAATAGATTACATGATGCATTGGATTAATCCATTTCGCTACAGGCTTTCAGGTATTAATCACGGCTGTACAACAACTAATACAAAACAGTCCTCCTGAAAAGATGACTGCTGAACAGCTAATATGGTTGTACTCTATTATGATATTTTCAACAGTGGTGAAGCTTATGCTCTGGCTTTACTGTAGAAGCTCAGGAAACAAGATTGTCCGTGCCTATGCAGATGTACGGGTGGTTCTCTTCTGATGTTTGCTTTATGAATGAAGTTAAAATACAATTGAACCATCTCAGAAATGCCAACTTGCAGGATCACCACTTTGATGTTGTAACAAATGTGGTTGGATTAGTTGCAGCTGTTCTTGGTGATAAATATTATTGGTGGATTGATCCCATTGGAGCTATTTTGCTTGCAATTTACACTATTTCAAATTGGTCCCGCACCGTCATGGAAAATGCAGGTATATACACTCATGAGAGAAAACAATAAGTGAATATTGGTAGTAGATTAGCTATAATTACTATCTAGCATTTCTGTTGGAAAGTTGATCCTTTTTCTCATCTCTTGCTCTTCCTGCCTCCGCCTGTTCTCTTTAGTGTTGCTGTCACTCAAAAGCAAAGTTTCTAAAATTTCACTACCAAGAAAGAACTGTTGTTTTGGTCAACCATGAAAGATTTTATACACTATTCTTTTTCAGTTTTACTTAACCAGATGAACCTTTTTTTAGTTGTCTTGTATTAGAAATTGATGCAGAATTATTTGCCAAACTAGGATTTAGCATCAGCTTTACTGTATTATACTCTGCATGTCATGATAGTTGTCTCTAGGAAGTTTAGCTCCATTATTTGTCATGATACCCCCCATTCCCGTCGAACTGAATAAATAAACAAACAAAAAGGAGAACAAAGTCTGCTCATTGTAAACAAAACTGCATTAATTCTGATTCTAGACAACTTTCTATGCAGTTTCACTAGTGGGACAATCTGCACCTCCCGAAGTTCTACAGAAGCTGACATATCTCGTTGTAAGGCACCCTCAAATTAACCGCGTTGACACTGTCCGTGCATACACGTTTGGGGTTCTATATTTTGTGGAGGTATGTTGTATTGTACAAAATCAATTTATAGGAGCACTATCTACAAGACTAACTTTGTTCGCTAAAACTTAATTATGTAATAGTAATACCATAATGAACAAGTGTCATTTTTAATCCTTATAGTTGATTCCATGTAGAGAGAAGGCTTGGTTATTATTGTTTGTACACAGAAATATGCTTAATGGGTCCATTCAGGCTTCTCTTTATTTTCTGCTAGTTTCTTCTATGTACTACTTAACGCTTCGAACATATTTGTGACGACTGGTACCTCTTACCGAGTTTTGTTGTCACCACTTATATAGTCAGAAGATTGATACTTGCACAAGGTTTTTTCTTTCAAACCTTTCTTACTCATGCATGTTAAATACCACCTTGTTCCGACCATAATTTTTTTTTTACTAATGATTTATATTAGTCCTGCTTAGAGTTGGTGACGGATGAAGTATGGGTAAGTGTTGGTCTTAACAACAATGAGATTCTATGCCTCCTCATTTGATTTCATTTGGAACAGGTTGACATTGAGCTGCCAGAAGATTTACCCTTAAAAGAAGCGCACACTATTGGAGAGAGCCTGCAAATAAAGCTGGAGAAACTCCCGGAAGTTGAACGGGCATTTGTTCATTTAGACTACGAATGTGATCATAAACCAGAGCACTCAGTTCTTGTCAAACTGCCCAACAATCAACCTTGAGCATATTTTACAGGTTCACGTGTAAAATTTTGCCAACCACTGTTATTGTGCCTTCACTAATAATTTCTTTTTAAAGAAAGAAAAACTTTAATTAAAAGTGACGGATCCAGCTGTTTGCATATATATGAAAGCTTATACGGCACATTCTGTTGGCAAACTTCTACCTCTTCAATTATATTGTTATTTAGTTCAGAAGAGAAAGAGTCTACCCACCGAAATCAAAAAAACATTTTGGGTGAAAATTATTTTCCTTTATATATTGTGCTGTATAAACTTTAAAGGAAGTATGCTAAAATAACAGAAGGGGTATGTGGACCTGCTTTTTTTTGGGTTAATAGCGCGTAATTTTTTACTTCATTTGAGAACGCCAATAATGGTAACCATACCATAGTTCAGGAACAATATACACGATAAAGGCCATGTTTATTTATTTATATACTGTTCAAACTGACAGAATAATGCGATTTAAATACATCAAATGTGCATCTTTCGAGCCCCCGGGACATATTGGAAGACCGTTAGACACATAATTCAGATATCTTCTAACAAAGACGTAGAAAGAAACACAATTTTATAGACTGTAATCAGCTGGAACATATCCATTCACCAGGTGAGAAGAAAAGTCATACATCCAACTAACTTCCCACTGGTACATGGCCTAAGCTGTAGCTGGCAAGAAAGCTCTTCCAGGCTCACGATTTGCCAAAGGTCCGTGACACCCAAGAACCTGAAAAGGATGGACAAAAGGTCAATCAACTGATCCAAAATACACTCAAAGCCTCCAAGTTCCCATAAGAGCAATGAATCACATTGCTGAAACTCTTTTCAAAACCACATATCACAGTCCAGAGACAAACCTTGACATTGACCCCATCCGGCACAATTCTGTTCTCAGACTTTAACTTTAAATACTCACTTCGACTGAACTTAGTAAATCCCCTGAAAATTGAAAGACAACAAACTATCAACTCAACGAACGTCACTACTAAATTCAAGCTTAGAATAGTAAAGTATTTTTTTTAATTATCTTTTTATCCTTATATTTTCATAAATTTTACCTTTTTAAGTCTCTCTATGTATCTTTTTTGTTTTGTTTTTTTTAATTTTTGTCATCTATTTCTATAAAAACTAAAAGATAAAATTTATACAACTATAAAGACTAAAAAAATAAAAATAATATATATAAGGATTAAAATGAAATATTATCGTTTAAATTAAATTATAAGAATAAAAAGGATAACTAAACATTTGCTTTTAAACCAAGCTAACTACTTTTGAGACATAGATATTAGAAGTGTTAAATAGGATAGATTAACTTAATTCGAAGAACAGACACATGAAGTGAAGGGACAATTTTTTAATGACTTGACTTAGTTTGAATTTGGCCTATTTTTTAATTATATTTAATTTTACAAAAGTAAAATATTGACTAAAATAAATTTAGTAAATTTTAGACCTCCAAATAATTATCCCATTATATCCCTAAATTGACCTGATTCTTTTTAGAACATTTTTTTTATAAACTTAATTTGTCATGCATAAACACTTAATGAAATTGACCCAATTGTTTTAAGACATTTTTGATAGTTGTAGTAGAGATGAGATGACCAAAGTATCCGTTCTCTCAACAAAATATTATTAACTAAGAACTTACCATTTTCTGCTAACAATGATCTTCTGGCGGCCGGGGAACTTGAACTTAGCGCGGCGAAGCGCCTCGCGAGCGTGGTGACCGTTGGCATCCCTACACCGTAGGGAGAGCAGCACCTGACCAATCCCGACTCTCGCACACGTCCCCTGCGGCTTCCCGAAGGCGCCCCTCATCCCCGTCTGGAGCCTGTCGGCGCCGGCGCACGATAGCATCTTGTTGATGCGGAGCACGTGGAAGGGGTGCACCCTCACGCGCAGGTGGAACGCGTCCTTCCCCGCCATCTTCGCCATGTACTTGTTGCACGCGATGCGCGCCGCCTCCAGCGCCTCGCTCGACACGTTCTCCTTCTCCCACGACACCAGGTGCACGCACAGAGGGAACTCCTCCGCGCTCTTCTTCTTCGTCCCCACGTCGTAGATTCGGATCTTCGGGTCGGGTACGCCGCGGCAGAAGCGCGATTTCGGGTACGGTTTGTTCTTTATCTGCCGGTAACACCTCGCTGGTCCTAAACATCCATAATATAATTTAATTCATAAATATAACATTTAATTGCTTCTTTTTTTTTTTTTGTAAATTTCTACGTACTATTTTAAGTTTCAAGTGTTTTACGAAAATAAGATGAAAATTATGAAAATAAATTTTGTAGCTTATTTTTAGCTTGTTAAGATTCATAAGTTGAAGAATTGAGAGAAGAGAAATGCTTTTTTTTTTCTTTTTTTTTTTTGCTTACTTCTTCCCATGGTGGTGTTGGTTTTCGATGAAATAGAACCTTTGAAAATGGAGAGGGGGGAAGTAGATGGTGCTCGTTTTATACCCTTCGGATGCCCGCGGTTTGGGCCTGTGTGCGTGTGAGCGTGCGTCATATTTTCAGAGTGGGGCCCGCGGGGGCTTTTGGACTAGGCCCAATGTGGGCCCAGAATGTTCGAGAAGGGGTTCGCTTGTTGGAGGCGCTACTTTTTGTGGCCGAATAATAGAAACTAGATTATTTTTTAAAACTAATTGCAAGAATGGTATGGAAATGCTCATTCAAAAAGAGAGAAAAATTTTGACATTTTACTAGCAAGTTCTTCGAGATTGGTTATTCACTAATAACTCACAAAGGAACTAATTTAGGGATGGTAATGAACCCGGATAGTGATAGATAGATAGTAAGGTAACCATCTATATTTATATGAGTATCCATTAAGCAGATACTCATAAATTTTATCAATACCTATGAGTGTTCATAGATATTTGTAAATTTTTTTTAAAATATATTATAAATAAGTTTAAATTTATATTTGATATTAATTATATTAAAAATAAGCAATTGATATTAATTTTTGAACTTGTAATTAATATTAATCTTTTAAAATATTAAAAATAATATAAAAATATAAAATATAAATATAAATATTTAAATAATTTTATTTAAAGGATACCTACATACAATCATATTCATCACCGTTTCACTTATAATTGGGTAGAAAAATATCCATATCCATTTTTCATAAATATCTATTTAGATTATTCATTTATTATTTGTAATGAATTTTATTCACAGATACTCGCAATTTCAGTTAATTTTTTTGTCATCCTTAATCTAATTCTAAATGGCCCATCCCCTTTGTTTGTTTTCTTCTTTAACCCTATATCAATCTCTTTCCTAATAAATATTTGTTAAACTTCCACATATTATTCTCCAAACTTGACCCTTTAATCCATCAAGAGAAAGATAGACGTAGGATTTGAAATATCCTTATAATGCTAACAACTTTTGACTATTCTCAAAAGGAAGATGTATATAACTGTATAATGGGGCGAAAGCTGAACATGAGGAGAAAGGGAGGTTAAAGAAAACATTCTCTGTTCAAAGATATTCTGATGTATCTTTTGAAACAGCTGTGGAATTCTTTTTTAATTTTCCAAAACAAGCCTCAACTTTTGAAGTCCTTTTAATTTATAGTATAAATTATTTATAATCTACTGTATCAATACAAGTAACAAAAAACTTTTAATTTATAAACATGGTTCAAGAGGAATTCAATTCCCAGTACTTAACTAGAACTACATAAACTACCTTTAAGCTAAAATGGTGTACAAAATCGATATGCTATGTACCAGCCAGTGCTCCATCAGTAAGTATACACATTGTACAAAGAAGAGAATGCAGTACCATGTGCTCTCATTATTTAATGCACAGGACAATGGCAAACTCACATTGATAATAGTTTCATTCTCAACTTGTATAGTTTCTATCTTGGCTTGATGCTTGGTATTACTCCACTAACAAGGTCACTACCTGACACATCTCCTGATACAAAAGGAGTCTTCATAGCAGATGATGAAGATGGTGTGCTGTTACTGTCTGTTTTGCCAGAATCACTGGATACAAATTCAGCTCTCTTGGTATCTGATTCCGGCATAGTAGACCATATGTTTTCAAGCTCTCTGACCACTTCTGCCATTCTAGGCCGTGCCTCCGGCTCATCTTCACAACACTTCATGGCCAGAGTCAAAAACTTCTCCACATGCTCAGATGGATAAGACCCCATACGTCCATCGATGATTGAAAATATCACGCCAGATTGATATGCAACGTTGACCTGAAATCAGAAAAGTGGTAGTGTCAAGCACTATTATTTGATATCTTGAGAGGTAGGAAATGATTGAAGGAATATCTGCGTAATAAAAGGATACACATTACTTGGACATTGTTTAATTTGATTCAACCCATGATGTTGGCAAATACTTACTCAGGGCTGTCTACCCAAATGGATTAATAGTTCATGAATTTGGAAGAAAAAAAATGAAGAAATTGATAAATTGAATTTTCCAACTGTTGATCACATTGACCCAATCACACTTGATAGGGAATAGGGAGAGAATATAAGTCCTAAGATAAGCAAATACCTCTCTAACAATATTTTTGCCATGTGAGATAGGTTGCATCCCAGTCAAAAGTTCCAGAAATACCACGCCAAGACTATAAACATCACTCTTGTCAGTTAACTTGTGAGTCAAGAAGTACTCTGGATCAAGGTAACCCTGAAAATTCAAAACAGTGAAAAAACAAAATGTTAAAACTCATTAAATAAATAAAATCAACATTCCAGAACCCATACACACTTTACTGGTCATAGTTGAGATACTATTTGTTATACTCGAGCTTAATTGGAATGAGACAACTGCTGGGATGAACATGACCTAAAAGGATAGCCCACATTGTTCAAGTGGTCATCCTTATATACCATTATTTAATCTCCAAACCATCCAATGTAAGTGTTCATACCATTTGAATTTGGGACCCTAGACCCACCCTTTCATGTTTCAATATCCATTCTTTTCACAAAAGAAACACTCCTAACATTAGAGATAACAAGTGTTGGCATATAGAGGTTAAGAGCCTTTTTATGTTAGCGGCATCACAGAGCTGGCTTATAAGTACTATTCTAGTGCTTGACCTAACACCTGCTTGGATACAAATCTAGAAGTACTTTTGAGAGTTTTTTCACTGAAAATAACTCTTTGTTTTTAGTAGAGAAGCTCTTAAAAGCATTTTTAGTTTGTATCCCAATTCCCAACAGACTCCTAAATTAGTAATACAAAAATAAAGATTGATATTCTTGTACTTAGTTTACATGTGCACAATTTTAGCAAAACAAAATTGAATCATGAATGCCTTACCGGGGTCCCCTTTACCACTGTAGATACATGACCAGGCACAACTCCTTCCATATCTGGAACTGGAGCAAGCCGTGAAAGTCCAAAATCAGCCACTTTGGCGGCAAACTTAGAGTCCAATAAGATGTTGCTGGCCTTTACATCTCGGTGAAATATTGGAGGATCAGCTTCTGTGTGTAGATACATAAGACCTTTAGCTGCCCCTAGCGCAATCTTCAATCTCATGGCAAAAGTCAGAGGTTCTTTGGCTGTAACTGTAGTAAAACATTAAGCACATACTTAAGAGAGACAACATAGAAAGCCACTTAGGCACACAATTTCTATAAAACAAAATATCTACATCATTAGACTTGAAATGTACATAGCATCTGTGGCTACCAAGTCATCAGAACAATGCAATGGAAACCAAAAAATTAATAATATTAGAAAATAAGAACATAATATATACCAGAAAGGTGATCCCTCAATGTGCGATTCGGCATAAATTCATATACTAGCATCTGCAAGCATGAAACAACAACACAAATCCCAAATGGAAGAAATTCAATATAGTCAGATAAAGAAAGAAGACTGAAAGGGGGTTTATAACACCAAAATTATAGTTTAGATTTATAATAAACAATTTATATTGTAACACAATATGTTTTATTTATAGATAATTTATTTTAAAATATTAGAATTTAATTATAAATAATCATGTAAATTAAAAATTAAATTAAATTAAAAAATTAAAAAATTTATAAAAATTCTCTATCCAAGAAAATTTTTTAAAAATATTTTTACATAAGATAAATATTCGTATTTAATATATAAGAATTGATTTTGATAGCAATAATATCATCATCTAGTTAAAAGGTCACAAAATTATAGCTATGGAATTAGTGTATATTAAAACTTCCACAAATGACATCACAAATCCAAGATAATCCATTAAAATTACTAAAATAAAATATAGCAAGTGCTAAATTTTCTGAATTTGGAAACAAAAGTTACCTGTTCACCTTCTTCATCACAGTATCCAATCAGAGACACAAGGTTGCGATGATGTAACCTTGACAGTAATGATATTTCGGTAAGGAACTCCTTCTCACCTTGCAGGGATCCCTCTTGTGCACGTTTTATGGCAACGACTGTGCCATCAGAAAGAATACCTTTATAAACTTTCCCATAGCCCCCTTGTCCAACTTGAGCAGAGAAATTGTTTGTAGCAGAGGACAACTCTCCATAAGTAAAGGCTCTTACACCATCAATTTTTATTGAGATCTTTGATGCTGTGAATATACAAGTCCATGTTTATATAGATTTTATAACATGATAAGTTGATAATCAATCAGATATGGTTTGTAACAGTAAATACAAGCACCACATAACTTTTTAAATTCCAAACAGAAGTTCAAAACCGGAGGAAAAAGTGGATCTAGTTTCACCCTGAAAATGTTAAATTTCTGAGAGGAAACCTTGAAAAAAAAATTAAAGTAAGACCATTTTAGATGACATTAAAAGATAATTAGATTTCAAATACGGTTCAGGCTAAGTTAAAATAGCACACACAATAACATCACGACTGATCATTGTGAAAGAGGAAGAACACGAGACAAGTTAAAGAGAAAAATAGAAGTACACTTGCTAATTCATGATACGGAACTCACCATGACGTCTCTTGGAAATGCTATGATAATCTTTCAATTTTACTCTCAATATAAGAATGGTAACAATTGCAGATAATGTCACTGCACAGGCAATTGCCCCTATGACTATGCCAACCAATGCACCCGTACTTATCCCTGATTTTGAACTCTTGCCAATCTCTGAAACAATAATGAGCAGTATGAGGACAGTCATATGACAGTTTGCAATCATGATTCATGATATTCAATATTTGGATAACTATGGTACATATTGTCCAACAGTCTGTTCATTCACTGATGTGCTCTAGTGACATTAACTTTCCAATATTAACTAGCTCGCTCTTATTGATTTTGCACTTGACTTCAACACTTATAATATACTCTTAAACATAACACTGCATCTAGATCATGCAAATTATAGTTTCATTTTTTCTGAAAATCAAAGGTGCCCTAGTATGAACAACTAAATTAATAGAGAAAAGACTTGAAGGGGGTTAGTGCATCTGCACTGTCGATTTCTTCATTCTCTCATATCTAATCTTGTATTCCACTGATACAGATCAAGAGTTAAAGATTTTCTGTAAACATTGTCTTTCTTTCTACAATATTCTGATCCATGTTCATCCAGCTAAAGAAAATGTGATCACAATTTTATTGTTAAAAGTGCATGCATTAAATCCAGATTCGATCAAAGAACTCTAGCAGATCCTAAGAAGTTTCTGAGACTTACCATCCTGGTAAGGACCCAAAAGATCGAACCCAATCAGTTCATAAGGCCCAAACGTATCATTGTCTGGAATTAGCCATCCTGTAAACATGGTTGTGATCCGTTGCAGCTCACTTCTATTGAAAATATGATCACTAGTGTTATCAACATATACAGGAAAAAACTTCAACTCCATTGTTAGTCGAGGTCCTGGTTGCCAATAAAATTTATATTCTAGCTGATTGGTAGATATTTTAACTCCAGTAGTCATGTAGTCCTTAAACTCATTCAAATATGGAAGAAAATTTGAAAATCCAGGACTTTTCAGCCGATAGTCAACGATTAATGGAATCGCACAGAAACAATTCACAGAGTATTCATAAGGAGGAGGGCATGCTTGAGTGGGACAAGGACTGGAATTTGTGAACGAGCCATTTGTTTCAGTAGCTCCTTCAGATCCACAGAACTGATTCAGGGTTATATTTGAGCAAAGGGGATTTCCATCAAGCCTGAAATACAGTAATTTTCAGATAATTACATGTGAAGCTATTTCAAAATGATGGAATATATGCTAAATTTAATGTTCAATTCTTGACCTTCAGCAAAATGACACTAATCTTTTCAACATGCATAACAAGGAGAAAAAATAAAATGAAAATCTCCAGTCTCCACTACAATGATTTCAGAACAAACTGCAAAATAGCTAATAAGTTTTGGACCGTACCCAACTGTGACATTTGAAGGAAGATTGATACTGCCTGATATGGTTGTAAGATTATTATTTTCCAACTCCCTGCAAGATCAGAAACCTTTGCTCAGCAAACTAAAATTTAGAACTCGGTACTGAGTAGCATCTATGCACAAGGAAACACAGACGAATAAATGATATTAGCATGGTAAAATCCCCAATATTGTGAAATTTATCGCTTCAGATCTTACAAGAGAAATTTTTCTGTTCCATTTAAAGTCTTATTCTGCCAAATGGAGGAAGAAACACTGCCATCCAATGAATTGTTTGCAAGTGACCTGCCCCATAGAAGGATATTATTAGTAAATAAAATATTTATTTTATGACATAATTGATTAAATAAGAAATATGAAAGTTTAATAACTTACAATTTCTGAAGACGTGGAAGATCTGCAAAGTAGGATGGAATATTTCCAGTAAGTTGGTTGTTTGATAAATCACTGCACATATCACAAGAGGTCAAAAATAAAAATAATAAATAATAAATAAAAACTAACCATATTCTATAAATTTACTTTAACCAATAAATACAGAAAAATATTGACATAATTAAATGCAAAATCAATCAATGACAGATTAGATGATAGAGATTCTCACATGGTTGTGATATTTTCAGACAGCCTATTGGGAGGAATCGATTCATTCAACTGGTTGAAACTGAGGTCACTGAATTTACACAAATAATAGTGAGTAAACACAGTTACAAACTGCACTAGATTGTAACAAAAAAATTAAAAATTGCATTAGACTTTTTCTTTTCCAGACATGTACATTAGAATCTTCACTTTTCTCAGGAACAGTCACTTCTATTACAGATAACTAAACTTACAGATAAAGAAGGTGAGGTATCCTGCTTAAATCAGGAACGGGTCCTCGCAAGCTGCAATTCCTAAGGCTCCTGATCATACCAAGAAACCAGTAACAACATTTAGATAGTTAACCTTGACAAACTCTTCTGCTTGACCAAATTAAATTTTCTTCTCTGATGAAAATTTTTATTAAGTAGAGCATAGGAGAAAAGTAGGGGTGTTCAAGAACTGATCCAAACCATTTCAACCCACCAAACTGATTCAAAAAATCAAAAATTGAACAAATCCTTAAAACATTGTTTCCACATGTTGGGATACAAACATTTAGGCAATGGTATCATAGCCTCAGGTTGCATTCGGTGACAACCAATAAATTATAACTCTTATAAAAGTGATAAGCGATAATGTGATATATAAAGACAGATTTTTCTACATGAAAGGTTAGTCTCTTATTTGAGGGAAGGATTGTTAGCATACAAATAAGGTCTCACATCGACAAAATAAAAGAATAAATAACAACTTATAAAATATACACATACTTCAATGCTTGAGAAGCCTTTTGGATGATGACCAAAAATAAAATCGAGAGCTTAGCTTAAAGCAGACAATATCTCATCATTGTGGAGTTATGTATGAAACAACCTTATAAAAATAACAAAGTTATAACCCTTATAAAATATCCTCTAAGACAAATACCATAAAATAATCCCAACACCACAAGCATTTTTTTAAAACATTGTTTGCCCTGTGTTTATATACCCTAGCTAACATTTATCTCTTTTGTTATGATTGTCACTCCTACATATAAGAAATTAATCACAAAAGGTTATACTGTTATAGCATCTCAAATAGGTAACTCACAACTAAAATTTAAATTAAAGGCTCAGGCACCTCGGCTCCACTCCCTGTACTTGCAAAACTCACTTAAAGACAAGGGATTACAGAATTCACTTACATCTTCAACAACTTTGACATGTTCGCATATGTATCAGGAATGCTATTTGCTTCAAAGTTATTGTTATCAAGTTGACTGCAAGAACAAGAAGATAACGAAACACTATAAAAATCCAATTATATAACAATTTATTAAAACAGTCAACAATTTAAAAGCAGTAAACATCAAATCAATTGCCTCCCAGTCTTAGGGTTAACAAGCAGGGGGAAGTAAGAAATAGTAAGTAGAAAATAAAACCTTAAATTGAACTTTTCAGTTTCCAAAGTTTATGCGTTTATTTAATTATATCCCAATTTAAAATTTATCTGTAAATATATTGGCAATTTAATTGAAAAGATCTGGTAAATTGTTCTCCAACTTCTCTCAATGTATTTGAATAACATGACAAGAAAGTTTCATTGCTCTATTTGGTTTAAGGCATTCACATCAAGATCCTTTTCCTTGTGTTTTCAGAAGCATTCTACATTCTTCCTTTACAATGAATAAATAGGAACATCATTTTCTCCCTAATCACAAGCCATTATCAAAGGCAAGCAGAAATGAAATGCATGCTTTACGCCACCTTGAAGTTGACAAGAACTATTTTAGTATTATTTATCTACTGTGGATGCACAGCTGAAATCATAATTATGGGATTAGCTCTTTGACATGGTAATGCAGAACTACGGTTGAAGCACATTTATGCTGTGTTGAAAATTTGATCCTCTATAATAGGAAATAGAATGCATCAACAAGACAAACACTAAATGGCTTTCATGTTTTCAAAAATGTGTTTGGCTCAGCTTCTCCTTTTAAGGAGAAGAAAAGCTCAAAAAATGTTGGGTCAAAAACTACCCAAGTGTCACGTAATTATTTTTAATTACATATGAAAGAATCAAATAATCCCAAACAGGGGAGAAAAAAATACAGAGGAAAACAAAAAACAAAGCAGCAAATATTATATTTATGATGTATATGACAGTCCAAATCATAGATGTTTCAAGAATGCAAGAGCTAACCAAGATTAAAACCAAGTGGAAAAGAGGCAAAGTGCAATTAGTTTTATAAAGCATAGGGCCTAGTTTGGATTAGCTTATTTTAATGAGAGCTTTTGAATTGAGATAAGTATTTGGTTCCTAACTCAAAAAAACAAAAATCTTGTAATAAGTTTATAGGGACTTATGATTTATGAAGAAGTTAGATGATAAAACATCTAAAAAAAGTTGAAGTTACATTCATTTAATTCTAACTTATGCAAGAAGTTCTTGTTGAGATAATTCATCCAAAAATAAAAAAAATAAAATAAAACTTTATATGCTTGCACACATATATTACAAAAAGAATAAGAAACCTACATGATAAGTAAGTTTGGCATTTTGTACAGCTCAGGGGGAAGATATCCTGATAAGTTGTTATTGTCGAGAAGACTGCAGGGCCAGAGATGCATCTTGTGAACAACATATAGACATGATAATTAAGGTTCAAAATAAAACAGAAAATATGTTAGTAGCTGCAGTTATGTCAATGATATTCAATTACCAACTTACAGGTGAACCAGGTTTGGTAATCGGGAAAGCTCCGGTGGAATTTGCCCGCTAAGTGAATTATTGTTCATGTGACTGCTCCATTGGGGGGGAAAAAATAAACATTATTTTCTTCTCATTTTTTTATCATAATAACAATTGCTGAGAAATAAAAGAGTTCATGTAAAAACAGCAAGAGTGGTCATTCCTTAAACTGCATTTCCATTGTAAAGAACCTTACAAATGCTTTGTCATGTTCAGGTTTGCAAATGACTTAGGTATAGGGCCTGATATTTGGTTCTGATCAATTTGTATTCTATTCAGGTTTGGAAGATAGCCAATCTCCTCTGGTAGTGAACCTGTTAAATTATTTCCATTCAGGAGCCTGCAAGAAAAGTATATTTAATGAGAAAGAATGCAGAAATGATGCAACTCTTGTTAAAATACCACTCCTTTGTTTATACAACTTTAACTCTATAGGAAACGGTATTTAATTCAATTTCTTTATAAGATCATTTCTGAATTCAAGCAATGACAAGGATGTTTATCCATTAATATGTCTAAAATGGGTTAAAATTACCCAGATAATAAAACAGCTTACTAATTTAATCATATAGTAACTAACATACATGCCTAAAGAGAAGGCTCAACTTACAAGAGTTCCAAACGTGTGATATTGCCAACTTGCTTCGGAATACTCCCACTTATGTTGTTCCACATAAAGTTCCTTTAGAATACAAAGAAAAACATGTATCAGAGGATGAAGGTAATTAAAAGCTGCAAAAGGGTGAAAAACACTGAAATCAGTGAAATCTACTTCACCAGCGAAAATGGCATCTAATAATGCTAATATGAAAATTGTTCAGAATATTTTTCATTTGAAACGTCAAATCAAAAACTGTCTTACAATCTTTTCATATAAGTTAATCTGCCAATCTCTGGTGCCAAAGTTCCGAACAAGTTCAGTCTCAGCAATTGCCTACAGACAAAGAAAAAAAATTAAGGAGTAGCAGTGACAAATGAAGCTCTCAATTCTCAGAGATTGATAGCTCTGCATTAGGTAGTATTGAATTATTGATGTCAGAATTAAAAGGCAATTGATGAACCAGATTGATCAAGACATGCAAACTCATCTACATATGCTGAAAAGATCATCATCAAGAGATGTGCAGTTGTGGCTCACAGCTGCCATCCTGTTTAGGTGATTATACTGATTTTTAGTTTACATAATATAAATTATTAAGAAAAGGGAATTGATCCTGTTGTGTGGAATTTTCACTTGGATTGTCTTATGTGAAAATCTCCATCATCAAAATCTCATACCTTCTAACTTTTATTATTTAAATCTTCTCTCTCTTAGCTTTAGTTTAGGATTGAGATTTCACTGAACAAAAATGTTATATGAGAGGCTCCAAACCCATTAAGAAAGTGTTTGACCTACAATGACTGTGAATCCTTTAACATAACACGATTGAGAGAGAGATTTATAAAAGATAGACAAAGGAAATGGTAGCCTGAAAATCATGTCATTTATGAAACAGAAATGTCTAGAAGATAGAATTCATACAATTCTTCAACATGTAGATAGCCATCATCTTGTGTTTCATTGTAGCACAAAACTCCTTTCCACCTTGATGTGCATGGGTCTCCTCTATTCCAATTGCTCAAATTTCCATTAGTATCAATCAAACTTCTCTTAATGGCTTTCAATGCTTCAACTGCATGTTAAACCAAATAAGAACATCATATATCAATAGAACCAAGCAAAACGATACGCATTATAAGCAAAACTTTACAGCTAGTTCCTATCTTTTTCTTTTATTGCAGTAATGGGTTCTCTGTTCTCATTTCTTAATTTTTGTAATAAAATCTGGACATTGATATTGTAAGGGATTCATGAATATCGTATTTGCAAATGTTATAATAATCTATGAAGAACTAACATGTCTACAGAATACCGTGTCGGCATACCCAACACATTTTCCACACAATACTTGGCAAAGACACCTTGACACACATTTGACATCTTTCCACCATGTTACAGTATTTTTTTTTTTTAGTTCAAACACCTCTACAACACAGTTTTAACACCTCTCCGACTATTAGTAATTTTACTGTGATCTTTTAGATGATAATTATAAATAGGAATAAATTATTAATGTGCTGGAAGCTTTTATTAATATATACCGTGACATATAAGATATTACTGGAAGTGTTCCCCAAGAGAAGAGTTACCACTTCAATAAAGACTTGTATGCCATCAAAGAGAAGCTACCATGAACCAAGTATCCCAAAAGCTTAAGTTGTTAGGTGAAGGCTCATGAATGGCTTTTAATAGTACATACCTAACATGCCCCCTCACCTCACACAAGGGTCCTTTGAGCTCAAAGTGTGGTTAATGCACAGGTTCCCCTTCTTCTTTTTTTTTTTATTTATTTTTTATTTTTTTTTTTTTTTCAAAAAAAACAAGGTTCACCCCCCTTTTTCTTAAATTTCAATTTTTTTTTTTTTTTAAAAACAAACAAGGTCACACTTCTTTTTTTTTTTTTGACAACAACACACAGGTTCACCTACCTTATGCTTAAATTCAACTTTTAATTTTTTTGTACTTGGCAGAATAGAGGAAACGAGAACCTAACTATAAACTAAACCATATAGTTACAGAGACTTTTATATCATGTCATGAACCAACTTATTGCAGATTATTACAAACAAAATACAGATTATCAGGATATAGTATGTTCTTATTATCAAGATCTAAATCAATCTATTTTTATTTAAATCAGAATCATATCAATGTAATTATTAGAATATCAATTGGTAATTCAATATAATTGTTGCAATCCTGTTATATATCGAACATATTGTACATGTTTAATAGAAGCAAAGCAATCGGGGAATGCCCCAAAAAAACAAAGGCAAAAAGGAGAAAACTATACCTTCATCGGGAGCAGTGATGTTATTCTGCCCAGCAGCATGTAGCAAACAGAAGCAGAACCACAAGAAGAAAACAATTTCATGCTTGAAACTCTTTGAAAGATACATCCCAGGAATGCGAAAATCAATAGAAAACTCTCAAATATCACTCATGAACTAAGCAGTGTACTTTCCTCTCCCTGATAACAACAAACCAAGTTGTGAAAATTCCAGAGAGGAATCTCTACCTTTCATTGATATGTTGCATTAAAATACGCACAAAAGATTCATCATTCATGTCAATTATCACCTAACAGATTCCTACAAACTTGCTTCACAAAATGATACTGGTAAATGGTAATCAATACATATTTGTGCAGTTATAATCAGCTGAAATCATACTGATAATATGAACTAATATATACTAATACATCAGTACCATAATTATCTCATAGTAAGAAAATAGCATCAATTGATATGAAAATCCAGAAACAACCTTATGCATGCATCCAACTCCAAATCAAAAACCAACTTTAGAAACAACCCTTTGAAACTAGAGAAGCAAAATTGAAGCCAAAATGCAAAAAGACTTAAACTTTGGAACAGATAGTAGGAAGAAAGCGGAAACTAACACATGGGTGTGTGACAAGTAACAAGTTAAGTACGAAGAGGGTGGTGAAGCATATCAACGTGAACATGAAAAAGCAGAGGGTGTGATGTCTTGTCTGTAAGACCAGGTCTCCATAACAACAAATGCAGCAAAAAATGTGGTAAGGCCATCTTTTTCATTACTATGGGTTTGAACCGAATGCATTAAAAAATTGGTACAAGAAAATTAAATAAAGAAGCTATGAAATGAGGTTGGCGAATTTGACTTTATGATACATGAATGAGACATTCACTAAATCGAAAATGAACATTAAAAAGGATTGTGGGAACAACGTCCAACTACCACCGCCAGTGCATGAGAGAGATTATTATTACTCAAATAATAATAAAATCATTTATTATGTGAAAAATTATCATTAATAAACATAATAATTATGTGAAGTATCAATAAATTAAGTTATGGTGTATAAACTGACTTCAATTGTCACAAGTAGGTGCTCCTTGTATCTTAAACCAAGTTATTAATCCAATCTTATATATAAATAGTTTCCAGTATAAATAAATAATCACATAAATTATGTTAAAATTATGATGAATAAATTGTCAAGTGTAAAATGTTTTAGGTAATAACATTTTTATGTTTTACACGCTCAAAAATATTATAGTGATTTTTAAAAAAGTTAATATTTAATGAGTTAGTTTATTTAAACTTAAAAAATCATAGAAAAAAAAAAGTGTTTTTTAAAAGAAAACAGTTTAGATAAATACATAAAAATGAAAATTAATTAATTTATTTTAAAATTATTTTTTAAAAACAATTAAACAAATCGATTTGCATTATAATGTACAGTACATGGATAACATAAATATTGACTAATTGCTAATATCGATGCAACACAACTTTTGTCGTTAGCACGGCAAAATGGAAGTAAATATAGATTCGTCAATATGGTAAACTAGAAATTTCGGCTACTTTCTTCAAATCACCAATCATTTTTTTTTCTGCTTCGACTCGGATTTCATTATTGTTATTCAAAAATAAAATTTAATCATATAAATAAAAGTTAATTACAGTAACCATCGAATCAATTTTTCAGATTCCTCATTGGAAGTGTTCATATTGTTTCACACTTTCGATTACGACCAATCCTAGGTAGGAAATGGGTGAATATTTTATTTTAGTCTTGGGAGAACAAAAATGTCAATTAGGTTAACCAATAGCAAGAAATTACGCAAATCTAAAATGAATCTACTTGTATTGCAAGCAAACAACATAATCAACTACGTAGTTACATGAATATTTAATAATAATTAAATTGGGTTTAGTCTCGTTTTCTTTTCTTTGGGTGAAATTTCTGGTTTTGTCAAACATGTGCTATTGCAGAAAGTAAACCAAATGCCACTAATAGCCAATCCTGAAAAAGTCTTCGAACACAAAAGTCAATAATTCAACTTCAATGTGTATCGATTAAACTTAATATAATCATAGAAGAAGAAAATAGAGATTAACCCATATGAAAAAAAAAATAAAATTTTGGAAACCTTTTTTACTTGGTCTTGGATTGTGTGATTGTGTTTGATGTTATGCCAACTTTTAAATGTATATGTTGTAAAGAAGTTTGTGTAAAATAATGGGTATCATACTTTGAATTGATTTGTCTCAAGTTGTCGGGTAAACTTTGAAATATTTTATTCATAGCTTAAGTTTAAAAATGAAAAAAAAGAATTGTAAGGGAAAAGTTAAATCGCGGTTTCTTGATCGGCGTGGGGTACTGGCTATGAAAATGATTCATTATATTTATGTCAAAAGTGATAATAGATAACTTTATTTAGATAGTATTTAATTAATTAAGTGTTTTGTATAAAAATATAAAATATTAGGAGAATTAATGTTTAGTTAAATAAGCGTTATAATAAAATTTTATATAGAGAGTATTTAAGGAGAAGAGATGTTATCTTTTTATTTATTTTATTTTATTTATTAAAATATATATTATAGCATTTTCTTTAAAAGTGTTTTCTAAAAACAACAGTTAGAGAGCTGTTATATAAAAGTGTCTTCTATAACATTTTATATAAAGAGTGTTTAAGAAAAAAGATGTTATCTTTTTAATTTAATGTAATTTATTTAAAAAAATATTATAGTGTTTATTAAAAAGGTGCATTTTAAGAAAAATAAATAAAGAGTGCTTGTTGATTGGAACACCTTCTATTGGTTTATATAGAAATCACTTTCCCAAAATAATTGTACTTTCATATATAAAAAATCAAGTTTTCCTTTGCACCTAGTTCATGGTTGTATTCACTCTCCCAATATTCATGTTCCCTATCATTGCATCTCTCGTTGTTATATTTGACTGTTATTTGTTATATTTGACTTTATAAGGGATCGTTCACTCATTCTATCATTCACAATGTTTTCTTAATTAATCATTATGTCCCTTGTTATCATTATTGACGTTCATTGTTGAATCTCTTTCATTATCGTTTGCAATATTCATACATCTCTCACTTTGTCACCTCCGATGCATTAACGACATTGCAAGGAAGGGATCATTTACTTGTTTTATCCTCTATTCTAGGTTTTTATTGGGTGTTTCTTGCTTTTTTTTCTTCTTTATTGGATATTCTTTTTCATTAATGCTTAGCTTTGTTTCAATTTTGGGGTTAACGGTATGAGAACAAAATTGATAGAAATAACGTCTCTCTCATGCTTGAATATTTGGTAGTATAAACTATAACTTCTTTTATCATGCATATTGCATTTTGTTTTTCTTTTAAAAATAGAATCTTTGCAAGTTTTAGGGTTTATAGCCAAGTTTAACATTTGGTAGTATAAATTTGGTGAGAGAATTTCTTATCTTAGTGATTTTATTTTCACTTTCGAGACCCTTATTAATAAGCATCTCTTATAGCAAACCTTTATTTGTTAATATGTTATTTGATTTTGTTTCAAATCCTTATCCATATTTTAGTCTTAAATAAATATCATTAATTGTTGTTGTACTGACATAAGACATACACTAGTGAAAAAAATACTTTTAAGATCAGTTCTTTGACCGATCTTAAAAGAGATGATCTTAAAAATAGAATTTTTTAAGATCGATTGTCAACCGATCTTAAAAGTTAGGGTTTTAGGAATATTTTAAAAAATGTGAAAGCCTCAAGTAAATTGTTCAAGAAGGAAAATTGTTATCCTCAAGTTTTAGGAATCCTCCAGTAGGGGACATTTATATAATCTAATTGTAAATACAGTTGCACAAATGGGACCGATATCTACTTAATTACATTAATATCTTTCCCACATTAGGTGTGCATCTTAATTTTGATGAACTTTCTTGTTACAAAAATCTACATGTCACATATATATATTATCTTGCGTGTGGGCTTTTGTACACCAACTTATTATCTATATCAAGTCAACAAAAAAATATATATATATATAAGAAACCCATATGATACTTAAGTCTAGATGGAATATTAAATTAAGAAATCAGAGCATATTTTTACTAAAAAATTATTCAAAATACTTAAAGTTTAATGTACAAAATATATCTAAATTAAATAAACTTTTTTATGTGCAATAATTACTATAGATCATTTAATTAATTAAAATTAATACGTGTATATGTAAGAGTTTTGTTGTCTATAATCGATGATTTTATTCTATAAATCGTCTCTCATATAGGTGTGTCTAAACTTTAAAGAAAACATTTTTTAATTTAACTTTACAAAAAATTTCTTTACACAAAATAGTTCCAAAAAATTGAAAATGTACTCATGTTCCCAAAAGGTTGAATCTGTAGGCAACTGCTACTTAAACTAGGGTTTCGAGTTTTGAATAATGTACACTTGTAGTTGTATATATGGAGGTGGAAAAGGTGTGGATGCATAATTGATATTTGAGTATGTAGAAGAGCCATCACATCAAGCACAAAAGTCAATACATCCAAGAAATATCATGCACGATACTTCTCTTTTAGTTTGGAACAACTTGATAAATATCCAATATATGTTTGAAATCACAAATATCCAACTGCTACATCAAGTTAGGTTTCGACTTAATTATTTAGCCATTCGCCATAATTTTATATTATTAGGTATAAAGAGATCGATTCACCATATGCCTAAAAGATTAAAAGAAGATAAACTTGTCGATCGAATCCCTATACATATGATATAGATTCTGTATATAAGTAAATAATGATCGGTTCATGAGTAGAAAGTTTTAAAATAAAGATAATGAGTATATTATATATTTTACATCATAATTACTTTCTCTTTAAAAAAATATATATTATTAACTTATACGACAACTCATACAACATTTCGTACATGTTTAAATTTCGGTTGAGATGGGTCAAAGGTACTTTCAATTAATGCAACAATTTTTTCCTTCTTCATTTTATGCATTAGAATTTTAAATTGCAAGTGCATTAGGATATTTGTAATATACTCTTTGAATAGTTAACAAAATGCAGCCCTATGCAACATCATATTTCTTTGTGTTTATTTATTTTTGTCACATCATTCTTTATATTTAAATTATTCTTTTTTTTTTAACCACCCTAGTGGTTGTGAGGAGAGGGATCGGGGTAGTTAGAAGCATGAGGATTTAGGTTCAATCCTTATTGTAACTATTCTTGTAATGTTTCCTATCTTTACCAAAAAAATAATTATTCTTTTTTCTCTCTCTATTAGTTGTATATTTTATTGTATGAGTTGTTATAAAAATAATATTCCTCCTTTTCAATTTATACCAAATAAGCCTAATCAAATTATATATATATATTTTAAGTTATCATTTTATTTTAAAAAAAATTATGGAAAAACTTAATAATAGTTGTATGAAGAGTAATAACTTCTTAAGCTTCTTTATTTTTATATATTTTGGTCTATCGTAAAAAAATATAAATAAAAATAATTTTTTTAGCGTTAACACATCACAAAATTTATATTAAATGAGATGTCATCAATCTCAATAAATTAATGTTTATATATAAAATCACTTCAGAAAGGATAACAATACTTTATAATACGTACTTAAGGATAACATATATAGGCCCACATATTAAATACGCATCTATATGATATACAATAATAATTATAATGTAGACTTCTACATTATTACTTCAACCAAAAAGGGAATTAAATTATATGTTATGGTTGTCATCACACAATACTTACAATAAACCTGCTCATAGCCGGCTGATCCAGAAAATTCAACATTCCCATTATCAATATC